GGCGTACCTTTGATTTGCTCGTACACCGTCCCTTCAAATGTGAAGAACGTCTGGAGGCAGTATTTAAGCAGTTGCACCAGGTGCCCCCGCCTAGGAGTATTGTTTGGCTCCGTGTATTGGCTGTCAAGGAGGTCGCTGACAGTTTCGACTGCCAAGTCCTTTGGGATCGAGGTGAAAAGCGAGGTTACATCGAACGACACCATGACCTCGTCTGTGTTTATTTGCAGGCTTTTCAGTCTTTCCAGGAAATGGACGGAGGAGCGGACCGTCGTGTCGGAGCCCGCGGTGAGGCAGTTCAGGCGTCGGAACATCCATTTGGCCAGGTTGAATGTGGGTGTCCCGCGTAAGGATACGATGGGACGAAGTGGGGCACCATCTTTGTGTATTTTGGGCAGCCCGTAGAACCTTGCCATGGCAGCATCAGTCGGTTTGGTGGCCAGTCGTTCTGCCCTCGTCATCGCGCCATTATTTTGTAGCATGGTGAACGTCGTGTTTATTTGCGTCACCAGCTTCTTCATGTGGTCTCCATCAAACTTTACGTACGCTTGCCTGTCTTCAAGCAAGGCATTGGCTTTCTGGAGTTCGGCCGACAAGGTAGCCGAACTCCACTATCTACGGCGGATGTTCACCTCCAACGGTTACCCCCGCAGCTTTATAGAACGCAGCAGACTATCGAGGCCAACAATAAAGTCAACGGCAAATCAGCCGAAAGTCTGGCGAGCGCTGCCATATATTGCGAACGTTTCCGAGGCAGTTGCTCGCATCTTGCAACCATTGGGTATCGGAATCGCCCACAAACCAGAGGCGACAATTAGACGTCTGGTCATGAGGCCAAAAACGCCTCTGCCACGAGGCGAAACTGCCAACGTCGTCTATCGGATCCCGTGTAGTTCCTGCGAGGCAAACTACGTTGGAGAAACGGGGAAGAGATTGCAGACCCGTATGGACGAGCATGCAAGAGCGGTAAGGAGAATGGACCAGCTCTCGTTGGTGGCAGAACATTGTGCAGCTTTTGGCCACGCCTTCGCCTTCCAAGACGCCGAAGTCTTGGGCCAAGGGAGCGATCAAACGGTCAGGGAGACGCTCGATGCCTGGCACACCACAACTACCTCAATCAACCGCTGCGTAACTTTACCGGCTGCCTACCAAGCCCTACGGGTGAAGCTCAATAGGCAGGGCTACCGACGAGACGCCAGGCCGGAGACGACAGTAACCAAACCCAGACCAAGCGGGAACACGGACGGACATAGACAGACGTCGGGAACAAACGAAACCAGGGGACAACCGGCGGCGAACGCGGGCAGACGAGAGCAGTCGGTGAGAACGCCCAACAGTGCCAGGCCCCCCCAGCTCGACGTCAACACTGGCATGACAACCACCGTCAACACAGTTACGGGCAGGTGTGAACGGGACAGCGAGACGAGAACTCGCGACAGTGACAGGAATCCCCAGCCCGACACCAACACTGGCGTGACAACCACCGTCCACGCGGTTACGGGCAGGCGCGAACGGGGTAGGAAGGCGAGATACGTGGAGGGCGGACAACGGACAATGCAAACAAGAGCAATGGCCGCGGTCACCCCGACGCCACCCCCCTCCCCACACCCGACAAAGGAGGAGGAGAAACCGATGCCGCCATGACAACAATCGTCAGGCCTGGTGATGCAGCGCGCTGGAAGTCAGTGACACGCCAGCACGAAAGAAAACTCTTAAATACTGTGACGTGCAGTACGCAAACCACCTCCGATGATGGAAGCTTGTTTGCTTTCGAAACGTCAGGCAAATATACCTATGGTTCCTGCGATCGCCTTATCTTCTCAGTTATATCCTGGAACGCGCATTTTCGCTTCAATCAGCAATATTATATCCCTTCGACACAGCGTATACTGCGTTTTACGTAGTATATATACACCGATGCATGAGACGACAGGAATTAAAAGAAAAAGAGAAGGAACTAGCTTGTTCCGATCAGGCGTCTATACCAAAAACATGGCAACCACTTCCGTACATTAAGAATGTGTCCGATCTAGTTGGCAAAATTGGCCGACTTCGGCCTGGTAATTGGTTGCCTGTTCGTGAACATTGCCATCCATACGGAGCTTGTTTGCTTCGTAAAGCCAACAGATCGGTGTGCGCCCTTTCCTGATTGAATAAATGCCCGATCTGCAGCGACAGAGAATGACAGGTGGCGAGGCGCTGCTGAACTTCGGTTCGATGAAGAGCTTATGACCCATCTGGTAGACCCCAGTGGTGGATCAACTGCACCAGGTGAGTCTGTGCGCATGCTTGTGTTTGTGGTGACAGCCGCTGGTGGTCAGGGTTATGATTGGCTGAATGAAGGCAGAATAAGCCCGAAACAGTACTGTATCAATCTATCCGCATTCTCTGTCGTCCATCCTTGCTGATATATATATATATAGCAGCGAGGAGGGACGACAGAGAATGCGGGTAGATTGATACAGCACTGTTTCGGGCTTATTCTGCCTTCATTCAGCCAATCATAACCCTGACCACCAGCAGCTGAGACCAGAAACACAAACATGCGCACAGACGCACCTGGCGCATTCTGTTCGTGACCTTTGCCACACATACGGAGCTTGTTTGCTTTGTGAAGCCAATAGATCGGTGTGCGCCCATTCCTGATTGATATATATATATATATTGAAATCAAAAACGTTCTTTGGGAAAGGGAGAAAACTTTATTGAGTAAATTTTCGACGTCGGTTCCCCGTGTCGTCGTCAGACTAGAGTAAATGTGCTGAAAACAATTAAAATTTCAAACGTGCTACAAAATCAATACTCATTTGGTGCCTCAGCTAGTAAGCTGCCGTCGTATGTGTCAGTCCGTATTGATCGGCTTTCGACGGCAGCTTACTAGCTGAGGCGCCAAATGAGTATTGATTTTGTAGCACGTTTGAAATTTTAATTGTTTTCAGCACATTTACTCTAGTCTGACGACGACACGGGGAACCGACGTCGAAAATTTACTCAATAAAGTTTTCTCCCTTTCCCAAAGAACGTTTTTGATTTCAATTTATATTTCTTGGTATGCCTGCGTTCCAATATATATATATATATGACATTACCGACAAGGACAAGGGAGACCGGAATGGCCATTTCTGGCTTATTAGCCGTCGTCAGCCAGCCATACCCAAGCCCGAAGTGTGGAACACCCGAGCCTCGAACTCGCGACCTGTTGGTTTAGAAGTCCACGCCTCTATCCACCGGGCCAAGAGCCCGTTGCCTTGTCGGTTCCCGATCGAAAACGGACGCTCTTCCTACGCATCAACACACACTGCAGCCCAGAGGCTGAAAAGCTGCGAGAACGTAAATCCCTATGGCGTCTCTTTCTCTCCAATGGGTACCCACGTAGCTTCATAAACAAATGCCTGTATCAAAGGCACACGAAGACCGCCGGTGAACAAAAACAAAAACCTGAAATCTTCCGTGTTTTGCCCTACGTGAGTGGCGTTTCCGAAGCCACTGAACGCATGCTCAGACTACTCAACGTGGGCCTTGGCCACCGGCCGGATGTCACTATCCGCCGCCTGCTCATGCAGCCTAAGGGGCGGCTACCACCTGAGGACACGTCAGGAATTGTTTACCGCGCCAACTGTTTAGACTGTCCGGCCAACTATTGTGGCATGACCGACAAACGATTAAGGTCGCGCATGCATGAGCATTCTCTAGCTGTAAAGCGAAAAGATGTGCGATCACATGTTGCTATGCATAGCCTGGAAAATAACCATCAATTCGGCTTCGACAAGGCAGAAGTAATCGGCCGAGCTGAAAGCAAAATGGCGAGAGAGATAATCGAAGCCCGACAATCCAACGCCAACTCGATCAACCGTAAGATCGATCTACCGGCGCCATACGAGGCCGTCAGACATCACTTGGGCAGGAAAGGAGGGCCAATAGGAAGAGAGAACAATGGACCTATCAGTAGTGAGTAAGAAAGACCTATTTAAACCTTGTATTCCCACTTTTAATCTATCTCCGATAATGCGCTCAAGTATGAGTGTGAAACGTCAGATGAATAAATCATCCTCCCCAGAGATCTCTTTACCTTCTTCCATCTCAATACCTGGGGTCGCATTTTCGCCTATATCCCCCATATATCTATATATGACATCCCTTTCGACGAAGCGTATACTGCGTTTAATGTAATAGCCTTACATGCAAGTTTAATGGTGGGGAAAGTGATTCAGTAATTGAAACCGCTTTTGAAAACCAAAATGTACTTTTCTTCACAAAAACATTTAAGAAAACGCAATTTGCTTCGCAATGCGGAACAAAAAAACAATTTTGTCTTCGTTCTATTTCGAATCTTATTAAATTTATAAGAACAGAGACAATCAATAAAAACTCTGTCTAACGTAATCAGTCGCTTTTGGGGATCGTGGTTTTTGCAGACACACTCAAATCTATGCCCGCTGCCTTTACCGACTTCCTTGGTGGCCCCTTATACGGACGTCTCCCCCTCCGGAAGACATGCGCGCTGACATAAGTAGTCGTGCCACTGGTAATCTCCGGCTAAAATGCACACCAGCAAACTCTACTTGTCAAAAACGCGCAATGTCTGCGATTAATAAAATCAGCCACACCACTGTTTTTGTCATGCTGACAAGGGTGGCACTACTGCCACAATGGATAAAGTCGACTACGTTAACAAGGCAAATAAAATATTAAGTAACATGGAGATCAACGCACTTCTCGCCGAAGCCTTCACGAAGATCGAAGTGGCTGCTATGAACATAAAGGTTAACGTCTACCTGCATTTCGTCTAGGAGATAAGCGATATAAATCTTACAGGGACCCGTAGGTATGTCTCTATGCTGGTACTAGCAGGTTAGTTCTCTGACCTTACTTGAGTTCAGCAGTCAGGATAGAACGTCTAACGACCCTGTTTTCTTTTTGAATTTGACTGAGGTTTACCTAGCAAGTGTGCGCACAAAACCTATTGAAGGCTGTTCAGGTATGATTCGACGGAAAAATTGCAAATAGGCAGTATGGATGTTTCTTAAGGCGTGCTCTTCTGCACCTCTGTCATGCACTATTTAAGAGGTGAGTGATGCGAGTATAGAAAGACGACGCTAGCAGAAGCGACAACAGCAGGTTAAGCTGCAATTGCAAGGTGAAAGTTGTCAGTCGAAGATCAGTGCTACAGCCCTTCAGGTATCTGCGCGCACCCAAGAATTTAACCCCAGATCACTTGACTGACTTCCCTTCCGAGCCCTGAACGCCAAGCAGTTCTAAGCCTGCTATGCTTCAAGCATGTTTAGAGGTTTAACCGGCATGTGTGATTTAAGTATTATGGTAATAAATACACCAGTCTCTATGTTTCGAAGACCAGTATATGCGGAAGGGTTATCCAGGAACGCTAAACAGGCGACGCTTTATTTTATAACCTGGCGAACAAAACAGATATAAAATATTCAGCCGTGCATTAAGGGCGTCTCAGAAGAGACTGCGCGCTTCATTGCGGACTTGGGGTTTGAATTACACATCAGATCAGAGCAGCTATTTGCTTCAGGGTCCGAAATACAAAAATCGATTACAGCCCAGCGGTTGGTCTAGTCTATCTGATCACACCCCGTGTATAACCTTACGTTTAACTTAACAGTCCAGACTGACCTCCTAATCGGATCGCACATAAACATAAACTGTCTGCGCGACGACGTGGCAGGCTATCACAGACGGCTGACCTCAACTTTAGCACGACTGATGAGCTATGACTGACGCTTACCCTCAGCCTTAAAAACAAAATTTGAGAATTTATCGCCGCCTGAGATGGATGGATCGAGCTAGCGTCGGCATATGTGCAGCCCAGGTCGGTCACCCCAAGGCCGAATTCACCCATCTTTGGTCGATCAATACACCTTATTTTGTTTCTGCCACAGTCTCTGTCAATTCACGCCTCACTGAGTTCGGAAAATCGGAAACACAAACGTGTTTCAAAAGTTGACTACTCTTTGGACCTAGAAATTAAGGTTCGCCTTCACCTTCAGTACAAAATTGAATTATGCTGAGGTCAACTGGCAGAGCTAATGCACAGACTTTCCTATCAGATCTCACTCCATAGTCGGTGCTGAGACGTAGTCTGTTCAAATTGACTAACCAGCCAGATAGCCGAGTAGTCATCACGCCAACAGATAACACAGATGATGGAATTTCGACAAATAGCATCCAACGTGCTGCCATCAAACAACCTACGCACCAACGGACAACAATCCGCCATGAACGGGAAATAGGTCAATTAGTATAGGCATCGGTAGCATAGCGACTTAATTCTGTAAATACTGCTAGGTCCTGTGCATGCATAATCCTTATCTCGGTCTGTCTCGGATGATGGGTTCGTACTTGAATTCAGAACTACAAATGTATAAGCTCTTTTTCAAACGATAACTCCTACTTCTTATTAATTAGTTCCGGCAACTCGCATTTTCCCTGTATCGATAAATAAATGTGCCTTCACATTTTGCGTTTGCTTGTGCCGCACACGAGCTGGTCCCTCACCAGTAATCAGGTTTCATAAAAAGAGGCTACTGGGATGTCTTTTTCGTGAAAGTGTCATAGGGGGTGAAATTTAAAAGGGGCCTTTTAGTCTAGCACTCCAGTATAAGAAAATCCGACTCCCTCAA